ATACCTTTTTTTAACATTGGAATGTCCAGAACCAAAACTTCTAAATAAATAAATTAAACTAAAAACTAAAATAAAATAAAAGACTCTCCCTCTGTTAGAAAATGTTGCAACAAAAACAATAAAATAGACCCTGTTGTTATTGATTGCAGATAATTTCTGAAAATACCAATCTGTAGCCTCCTTCACAAGTTTATTCCTGTAAAGGACATGTTCAACCTTGTTTTTTATCCATCCTTTTGACTCTTGCTCTGCTTCAACTTCAGCTGTAGCAACGCGAGCCATACACCCAAAATGGCGCTAAGGGGGCGTGGTTGACATGCAGGCCCCATGTCTGACAAAGACCGATATATCGAAGCTGTTAAAATTATCGAGTTCATTTTCATCTATTGTACGTTTAATAGATTCAGACCTGCCAACCTTGTCAAAAAAATTTAAGTACCATTTGTGCGGCGTTTTTTCGCAGACTTTTGCAACTCCATTGCTTTTCACTCTGTAATCTCCCCATTCATTGGATGGAAAATTTTATACACACACACACACACACTTGTTCATAGTTCTAATTTTGACTAGTAAGGTTATAGACATTTTTTCAGTTTGACCCGACCTCAAAGTATCATGTATTTTTATATTAAACAGTAAAACTCTAAAGTTTCCTTATATAATATTTGTGCTTATACAAGTTACTTGCATTAAATTATTTCAATACAAATTAATAAAAAAAACATGTATTTTAGGTAATTATTTCTTTTGTGAATTGCAACAGGTGTTTCTGTTCTCAAGAAATTGGCTTAAAGCACATATGCACACATCACCAGGGCTAATTTACCTTAAATTACCTGCAGCTCCCTGGTAGCTTATGTCCACATCATAATTGCAGATTGTACAAAATGCATGGTGAGGTTGTTTAGAGGGTCACAAGTGTAGTGTCATGAATGTCCTGTTTTGACCTAAAGGTCATGATCTGCTGTGTCTGCTCGAGCAGAGACATAAAGTCTCTGACAGGCTAATCTACATGAGATAGTGGCCAAGGTCTTTCATGCACTCTGCTCATTTGAACTGCTTCACCTTTGTTACAGCGAAGACGAAGAACTATTTTGATCAATTCATAATCAACAACTTTGTTAATTACCAATAATAATGTGAGCCCAATGTTCAATCAATCCGTGAAATGACAATGCTATTACTTGATATTATAATCCTGTGATCAGTAGTATTTTACAAGTTTTTATAATCTTGGACATTTGCACTAGACACGTAATGCTAAAGTCACACGACACATTTCCTTTCGTCTGACCCAATCAGAACCTTTGTTTCTGGGGCTGGGCGTGGTTATCCGTGGTGTTTGTATAAACCCTCTTTTTGCATGTCAAATTCTGATTCGCCAGTAAACCTAATTATGACAATTATAAAAACCATCCCACGCCACCCTCTCTTTAGTTCAAGCATTCTAGAGAAGTCTCGGACAGGCCATCCGGACTTCCTCTTCAGCCATAAAGAACCTCAGACAAGCTGGATAAAATCTGTTGCAAGTTACAACTGACCGTAACGGTTCCTTCAGAATAAAAACTGAACCTCATGATCCCTTCAGGGTCTCGGAGGTGTCAGTGATAACCTGTCATGACCTGGAAGCATTCCAAGACTAGTTTGGTTGGCACCGCTGCTTTTATACCGGCTTCGGTACCAAAGTGGGTCCACAAGGACCTTGGCATTCTGGATCTGATCGGAGGCTTCCCCTGGGTACGTAGACCGACAGATGGCGTTTCATGTGTGTTATAAATCTCCTACTAAAACTTAGAGCGAAATATTCACTCCCACTCAGAACTACTACTTCTCCGGATCCGCTGGTTCTGAATAACATTCCACACACACACCATCGTTCATTTCACGTCTCATTCCACCTTAGTTCCATCAGTACACAGAGTGTTTTAAGTTAGTCTTGTTTAAATTGTGTAGAAATAAATTTCTTAACTATTTCAAACCTGACTCTCTCTCTCTCTCTCTCTCTCTCTCTCTCTCTCTTTACTTGGAGTTAATACGAAGTGTTGCTTAATCCCTGCAATAAAAAGTTCGGATCATCAGGTTAAAATAGTCAAAGATCCATCAGATTGATATTTCATATTTCTATGGAATCTCACATTTTATGGTTCATAAGTAAGATGAAAACGACTCATTCTTTACACAAGCATGGCCACTGTTCTTGATATTTGGACAAAAACTTCTGAGACACATGGTCCCTCTTCTTTTTGGGCAGGTCTGCTAACCAATCCCTCCCTGTCTGCTTCTCCCTCATCTGCCATAGCATGAGTTGCAAAACGAGCTGCGAAAAAATACATAATGGCTGCATGTTTAAACTGTATGAATAATCACATTCCTCCTTATATACAGGCCAAATCTATCTGCAATGGATAAAGGTGAAAACACACACACACCTGCTTCTTTCTCTTAAGTCGCAGATTTTTTTTTTCATTCAGATTTCGGCTTGAATATTCAACAGTGAAAGTAACGTTACACGTTCACATTTACCAAAAGACTGCCGGTCCCGCCCGCTGACACACACATGTGCACACGCACGTGCGCACACACACACACACACACACTGTTGTGGAAATTTTTATGTTTATTAATTCTTGATCATTGATTCAATCAACTGAATGTAATATGTATTGCTCTATGCCTCTTTGCATGCCCACTTATTCAGACAAACCCACACAAGCCACACACATTTTTGACTTCCCAAACACACACACACTCTCTCACTTTCATTCCTTTCTTATCTCTTGGTATAAATAAACTCTGTAACCAGATGTTAGGGGCATTTTGCCTCGTGCATTGTGCCACAGTTATAACTGTTTGACTTGTCTGTTCATTGTCTCCTTTTTCTCTTCGACTACAGGAAATGGGTTATTGATAAACATATTGATAAAATCCATGACATTATTTGGTCCTTCGAGCTGGGGTCCCATCACCTCGCGGCGCCAAGGACTGATGCCGGAGAAATGTTGACAACCTAAATCTCCTCAGGCGCTGAGTTTTGCTGGGGGTCGGTGAGGTCTTGAAGTCAATAGGAGGAATGCGGATCCACAAACTCAAGCCCTGGAGTGGAGATTTGGTGAGACAAGTTTGTTTCTTGTCGTTTTGTCTTGTGGTACCGAAAGAAAATCCTAGGTAACCAGGGGTTAAATCTGTTGGTTCGCCGGAAGGGACTTTAAAACAGATTCCTGGAGTGCTGTTTTGGTATGGTTACAAGAATGCACTAGAGCGGGGGAGAGAAAGATAAACAGATTCCGGGAATGCTATATTGACTTGGTTTTTTGGGCGTTTTTGCCGAAGTATAAACGTTACCCTGGTGTGATAAAGTTATAAATGATAAATGAGAAAGTGTACCGTGTGATAACTAAGAGGTTAAATTGGTTTTTGGGCGTTTTGACCTGGAATATAAGCACAGCTTTGTTTTGGCCTGGCCTTTGGGCGTTTTGCCTTGAATAGAGACGCTACTCCAGTTATCGATTGCTTGTCTTAGATGTTGTCTGCTTTGACTGTTGTTTGGATAAATGAGAGAGTGTATGGATTTGCTTTGTATGTGTGGTACCTATGTATGGGGGAATAAGAACTCACAAACACCTTTTGAATGAAGATGGTACATTGAAATGTAAACCCAGCAAATGGGGAAATGATCAGAAAATCATCAGAGGATTGGTGGAAAACATGTTTCGCTGGTATTTTGGTAACTGCCAATGTGTTGTACTTGCAGGGTAACCTTAAAGTGAGATAACACGAGAGAAAAATGAGAAAATTACAAATGAACTATCAGGATTATGGTTACGTGGATGAACAGAGTGGTGGAGAGAAAGAAAAAGGTTGAAAATGTGAAACAGCACATCCAACGGCATTTGGCAGGGGGATTTCTCAGCCTCATCCCAAGTGCCGATGCCCACTTCCAATTTTAAACTGCACTTGGACACTGAGGGCTATGGGTGCAAGTGGGGTGGTGTGGTGGCATCAGCTGGCATAGGCCAGACGATGCCCGCACTGCCCGCTCACCACAGCCATAGAATACACCTCATCAACACTCACCAACACCATATTGGAGCAGGCGGAGGGAGACTAGGGGTCTTAGCACACCTCTGTTGTCGCTTGGCTTCCTGGGGCTGGAGGCTAGGAGGGAGATCCGGCCATCCGGTTGGGGTCTGGTGTGGTGGATTGCTGTGCTCAGTGTTGGGTGGGGGAGCCTGCTCATCAGCACCCCAGCAGAAAGGGTCGAACTCTTGGAACCGGTAATGGTTGTACCCCATGTGCAGCAGTACCAGGACCAGAGTGAATAGGGTGTGTATGGAGAGCATGAGTGGGTGTCCGGCATGCATTTTTGTAAGTCTTTGGTTGTATGTGTATGTGTGAGCATGAGGGAGGAAGTGTATGACTGTGTTTGTGTATGACTGTGTATGTCAGGTGGGGCCTTTGACTCCTCCCTTCTTCTGGGACTTCTTTTGGTGATATAGATCTCTGTCTCCCCTCTCCCTGCCACACCTGGTGTGGAGTGTGGTGCCTTGGTCTGCCTGGGTCGTGGCTCCCAGGTAAGGGAGTTTAAGATTTTTGGCATCTGCCTGACCAATCCCGGTGGCTGCCTGGTGGGGTCTGGGTCCCTGGACACTGCTGGGTCCCCAGCGGGGGTGGTCGCCCCTGGGTCCCGGGTCATTGGGTACCGGGCTCTGCCGGCTAGGGGGTGGGAGGCTGCGGGCGGGCCTGTGGGCTTACCGCCGATATCTCCCGGGACTCTGCCGGCTGCTGGTTGTGGCCCCCCGGGGCGATCCTCTGCTAGGTTCATCACTAGGCGTTAGGAACACAGAAGGCCATCCACCCTACAGCCCCAGACCCTAACCCTACACCCACAGATCTTAACCCTACCCTCACAGACAGAAGGTGCATCAGCAGACACAGTCAAAGAGCTGTATGCAAAACCAAATCACCAAAAGAAAGTTTAAACACAAGTTGTGTTGAGGTACCTGTTCATGGTAGTTTGGCTGGCTGGACTTTCTCCGGCGGGAGAGTTGGTTGAGTCTATGCTCCTCCTTCTCACCTGAGCACAAACAGAGATTTTTTTTAGTTTAAAGACTTTCTAACCTGAACCTTATTCCTACAAAACTCACCTCTGTCAATCCAGTCCATGCCATCATCTAGAAAACACAGTCCTGTTGCCTTGGTGACACTGGTGACTGCCTCCTCATCATCCAACCGGGTGCATGAATGGTCGAGTCCAGAGTCTTCCTCTTCATTTTTGGATGAAAACAGCAGAATCCCAACTGACCCATTTCCTGGTAATGTGAGAACAGAAGAATATGTTCAAGTGAAACCAAACATAATAATTGTTGGACAGTCTGCTTTGATTACTGCCAGTCTTGCTGGTTTTACTGATCTGATGTTGGTTAAAGTCCTGCTTCCAGAGCAGTCACCTTTAAAAAAATACATCCCAAAAATTAGTCAAAAACAGCAACTTTTTCATTGATATTACCGAGGTTGTCGAAGTCATCCATGTACTCCTGACTGATGTCGTTTCTATCGAAAGAGGAGGTGGAAGACAAGGACATGTCCTCCAGTGTCTCACCTATAATAGATGCCTCCCTCTGGGACACAAAGTCCCCTGAGAGCCCCTCTGGACCATCTGGGGTGTTTTCTGCTGGGAGATCCGAAAAGATTAAATGAAACCACTATTTGAGTCTTGAGGCACAACTGACTAAAACTGGAAAAGTACCTGGGCTGTTTTCTGTAGATGAAAGTGTTTCTACAGAGTGTTTTCGCCTGGCTGGTGCTTGATTAGTTTCCTTGTCACCTCCACACGCATTGGCTGGAGCGGCTCGAATGGGACGGGACTGCTTGACGAGTGATGGTCGTGACAGCTTATAGCTGATGCCACTGGGTCTTGGGGTGGGGCCAAAGCTAGGGAGGAGGGTTTTTTTTAAGGCTGACTGAGGCAGCTGGGAGGGGGTGCTCACCTCAGACCTTCTAGAGGCAGAACTTTGACCTCTGACATTTCCAGCTCTACCTGTCCAACGGCTCACAGGTGACTTTAACAAGCAGCTTCTTGGTGAAGCCTGGGGAGATGATAAAGAAGTTTCCCGCTGGACTGTCTTGTTACCAGTGTAGGAGCGGGTGATGTTGGGGGAGCGGGGGAGGGATGAGGAGGAGGTGGACGAAGGGGTGAGGGTGGGGGAGGGCTGCTGTCGGACCTGGGTGAGGCTACGTGACCTGAAGCGGTCGTTTTCAGTCAGCCTGATGGAGGGAACCCATCCTAGAGTTTCACTGGAGTGGGAGCGGCTGGCCACTGGTTTCTTTTGAAGGGGGGAACCAGATCGAGATCCTGGACCAGAAGCAGGCTTCGGATGGGCAAGACGAGCAAAACTCTGATGCTGTCTCAAAGAACTGTTAGCTTTTGATTGCAATTTAGATCCAGAATTGGAGTTCAGGGTCTGTCTTGTACCATTGGCCAATCCTGCTGTGGTCTGGCTTGGTTTGGATCCCAGAGTTCTACTTTTATAGACAGGAAGAGTTCTGGGGCTGAACTGTGGAGACGGTGACAACGATGATGATGATGATGATGTTGTAGACTGGCCACGCCCGCCTCCTACAGAGGATGTGGTTATTCTTTTGGCATCCTGCTGTGACATCACTGGTGAAAAATACTGACTGCTCCGATTCTGGCTGGCATTCCCACCTTTTCCTCTCCTCTTTTCAGTCTCTCCGCCAACCCCTCCATCATTCACTGCTCCATTTTCTTTCTTCCACTTTGTAGAAAAGGAACTTGGCACTCTGATTAACCCATTCTGCTTTGCAGAGGAGAAGGGAGTGGTGCCATTGACCCCCACAGGTCCAGGATGATGGTAGAACCCACTGGTGAGCCGGGTGCTGCCCGCTATAGCAGGAGATCTGGAGTTAGAAGCAGCAGCAGGAGCTGTCTGGGGTCGAGGCTGTGAGCCAAACGTCGGCAACCTGGAGACCATAGTGGGCAAAGTGGGCCGGTCAACGGGAGGTGGGACTGACATCAAAATCCACCCACTTCAGCATGGAGCCCATGAGTCGAGGGAGCTGCACCAGAAGAAGTTAGAGTTCAGATTTAAAGTAGTAAACTGCAGTAAAACATTTTTCACGTGTTTTATATTAGGATAATTCCAAATTCAAAGTTGGGGCTGTTGGACAGAAAAACACATTTATTATCTATTGCATATACTTTTCCCTATTTACAAATTTGATTTTTAAAATTAATTTCTCTGATGGAGACTTTTTGATCTGAAAATGTTCCTAAAACAAAAATGAACAATTTTGAAACAATTTTTAGTATAAACAAAACAGTTCCACTCAAAAATAGGATACTGTGGAGATGGTGTATGGGAGCTAGATTTTTATATTTGCTTGCAAAGATTTATTCATATTTCTAAAGGATCCAAAGTAAACACGACATTGTAAAAACTTCCAAGCACGTGTAGAGTCAGACACGTTTAGTCAGGCAGAACCCTCTGATGACACCGTGATGAGTCATATGATCCACGTGGAGTGTCCCAGCAGGACAAAGCTCCTCGCTGCAGGGAACACCAACTACTTTTCCAGATAATATCTGCAAACTACAGAGTGAGATTACTCTAAATGTTGTTTTTGTTTTCCTTTTTCACCTGGAGCAATGATGCTTGAAGACACAAAAGTTCTAAAAGTATTTTGAACAAAACAAGAAAAATTTTCGACAATTCACGCATCACATAACATGTTTTAAGCTAGTTTAAAGTTGGATATTTTGTTGTACCTTCGCAGAAAAACCAAGATGTTCTGTCAGTGATTAACGGCTGGAACATTAGAAAGTCAAGTATAGGTGTGAGCGTTGCCAACGTGGTTGGAGCAGAGATGAAGCTTTAAAACGCCACCTCCCATTATAAAAACAATCAGATGTTTCTGCAACTTCATCAGGAAAAAACGCGTGGAGTGAGCATTAACTCGAGTTCAACACACACACACACACCTCCAGGCTCGTCTGCTCAAGGGAAACACTAATCTCAGTAATCTCCCCATAAGGATGATTAGACAAGGACTGAATTCCTTTGAAGAACAGTTATTATAACTGCATGAGGAGTCATGCATCAGATATGTGTGGTTTGGAAGGCTAAATACTGAAGTTCCTTTTTGCAATAAAGATAATGGAATTATCTGAGGTTGTGTGTGTGTGTGTGTGTGTGTGTGTGTGTGTGTGTGTGTGTGTGTGTGTGTGTGTGTGTGTGTGTGTGTGTGTGTGTGTGTGTGTGTGTGTGTGTGTGTGTGTGTGAATATAGGTACCTACTAAAACTAACAGATTAAGTGTTTGTTTTACATTATTAACGAAAAGACTTTTCCACAAAAACACAGCAGTGATGTTTAATCATGAAGAAAATATATTTTTTTCTCGTAACCTTTATTTTAATAATTAAACTTTAAAGTTTCAACAACTTTTAGGCCAGAAGGGCCAAGACTGACTAACATTTCTGTGTTCCTGGAGAGTGTTCTTGGTTAAATGTATAAATAAATCCTATTTTCTTTACTATAGAACGTGAGCAGCCTCTGTTCAGAGAAATAAAGTTTCGCAGCTGTTCAGGTGATTATTTTATAAACCTTTACACAACTGTCAGTTTCACATCAGATGGTTATTTTATCAAAGTTATTGAGATCTTCTGGCTGGACTAAATCTCTTTTAGTTATTCTTTACTTAACCAGGAAGGTCCCATTGAGAATAAAAACCTAATTTTCAAGGGAGTCCTGGAGGAAGTGGTACATTTAGCTGCTGATGTTGATATTTAGACTTGTAAATAATCACAGAGCACCACAGAAATATCCATGCAATATGAAATAGTTTACGTAAAATAGCATTTGTATAAATAAACAAATGGTAATTCAATACAACAAGGACACCTTCTATTTAAAATCTAAAAACAGTAATTAAACAAAAATCATGTTAAACCACCTTCATACTGTTATTAGTTGTACTTAATTCAAATTCCTTAAAACATAAATTATAAATGTCCTTGCACTTTCTTTTTCATTATATTGCACAGCAGTTCATGCAGATACTTCACACATTACATAGACTGGTTTTTATATATGGATTTAATGGTGTTAGTGCTTTGTTGAGTTTTCAGTCACTCTGGCCAACAGAAACAGTTTTATTACACTCAAACAAGCTGGAATGAAATCAAAAATACTTGAATGATCTCAATTTGGTTTCTATAAAAGCTGAAAAGTTGTTGTATGCAGATTACTTTATGCAGGCAAATCATTTTTAACAACATGGACGAAGAGAGAAGCTAAATAGGCATTTAGGTCTATGTCTAATTTCACCTCCTGAGGCTTCTTGTGTTATAGATTTTTATTCTGATAATCTTAGATGTGCTGTTTTTACTCGGGGAGAAAAAGTTTAACCTTAAAGAGGCATTATGGAAGTTTGACAGCCAAAACATGTATAGAAATAATAAATTTCTTCTTCATACATTCTCCTGCAATGCCCTGGTCCTGTAGAATGAGCCCTGGCATTTTTACTGTGATTGCCTGTTTTTCTGTAAAATCACAGAAAAAGAGAGCTGCTCGGGTCGAGTAGGCTGCTTCATGCGCGTTCATGCTCAGACATAGCCCGTAGCATTTGCTATCCGTAGCTTTAGTCTTTGTCGCTGTTCCTAACGCCTAGTGACAAAGCTAGCTACATTTCTGAGGACCCTTAGCTACTTTCTGTAGAACTGTCTTCTATATATTTCCTGCAAATTAGCAACAAAATAGCCATTTTCGCTCCGAAAATGAACGTTGTTTCAGCTGTCATCAAGGATATAAATGTTACAGATACAATGGACGTCACTGGTGCTTTAGCTCATCTCGTAAGACGTCGGACTCTCGTGCAGAAGACCCGGGTTCGATTGTGGATGTCAACATAGTTTACTTAGAGTTTCTTTTTTACATAAATGGTATATTTTTTTACAGTAAGATGCCCAAATTTTTATTTGAGACTCGCCGAATGGCAATGAAAAGATGTGGGTTCAACTTTCATTTTGGAACAATTTTTCAAGCAAGGGAAGGGAATGATCTGAGCATGCAGGAGGACTGACCCATCTTAAACCTTTGTCAGCTGTGCTGAAGAGAAAGCTACAGAACCAAATTATTTAATTAATTAGCTGCCTGTTCTCCTGTCCTCTGTCCTCCGGGCCCCACACACACACACACACACACACACACACACACAAGGGACTGTCTCAGCTGTTATTTTCGTTAAGGAGTGTGCACGTACAGCATGCGCGCCTCGTGCACGAGCCTACTATTGAAGCTGTCGTTACGCTTTTGGCCTGAGGGGGCTATCGCGAGCATATAAATTCAAAACTCCGTAAAGTCCCTTTTAGAAAAAAAATTTTTTAAATGATTTAGTTCGGAAACATTTTGGACTACTGCAGTTTCAAATCTAAATCTAAAATAGAATGTTAAAATCGCAAACCAAACAAAAGTTTTCGTCTTCAGTGGTTAAAGACCAAGTTCATACGTTTTATCAGTAAATTTGCAGTGGTCTCTAGTATGTGAGTGGATCTCTGTGGAGAAAAAAACCTTCTGGTGTTCCCGTTTCCAGGACCTAGAAGTGAGTCACAGGGTGTTTCTCAATGTCAAGGAACCTTGCCTTGATGTCTTGGCCCCACCCCGGTTTCCTAGGAGATACATCATCAGGAGCCGCCAAGACATGTTCCAATCGGTTCCAATGTTCATGTCTACCGAGGCGTGTGTTCTCCGTTTGTTAGCCATTTAGCTAGCTAAGCAAGGACACATGGGAAGTGTCTTGTAGCCTAGCCTTGGTCAAAAATTACCCAGACTACATCGCAGTATTTTCAAAAGAATGGCGGATCAGAAGCCGGCAGCTACTTCGGGGACAAATTTCAAGTTTAACTCATTCACTGCCATTGATGACTAAAGTCGTCATTTTAGATCCAACCGTTCACTGCAAAGTCGTCATTTGCATTTTTTTACAGTCTGAGCATCGGAACGAGCCCCCGCACTGAGAGAACAAACATCTCAGCCCTGAAGCCGATCTTCATCCGCATACGTCACATGTCACATGATCAGGAAGCAACACATCCATGTGTTTGGAGATCGTTTTGGGCCGTTCCTGTAAAAAAAGTGAGGCGCGAACTGGAAAAGCGTCTGCCGATCACAATTCGACAACGGATTATGAAAGAACGGATAACGCTCGAAACACGCGGTTTCTTCCTGATGTAAGAGGTGAGTCTCCTCTTTGTTTTGGTTGTTTTGGCATCGACATCATGCTAGCGCGCAACGTTCTCTGACTCTTAAAAAAACAGTAAAAACGGTGAGAAACGCTGGCAGCGAAGGCCGTTAGTGATAAGGAAACGGCTGGCAGTGAATGAGGTAAAAGTAAGTCAGCTAATTTAAAATGTTTTTTTAGATCCAAAGAAATTATCTATTGTTGATTAGTTGCTCAGTAGTTGCAGCTTCTTTGGCTAGCAGGTAGTGACTCACTTATATTTTTGATTTAATAAATATATACACAATTTAAAAAGTAAAAGGCTAGTTATACATTTATATTGAGACTAATACGTATAAAATATAACATTGTCTCCCGTGTCACGTGACGTTACGTGACCGCAGTGGAAGCCGCAGTCACGTGATGCAAGTCTGTTCCATTTAACCGTTTTCTTTGACCAAGGAAGGACAGTGTCCTTGTAAGTTACGCGCCTGGCCTCGTAAGACATCGCCTCGCAAAGCCAGGCACCTTGACACTGAGAAACACCCACAGTCTACGACAACACACAGATGACAGGATTTATTTCCTGATATTCAAACATCTGACCTCTGATTGGATAACAGCATTGCGACTCTACCACCGACTGTTTGCTCTGCAATGTTTTATCTCCAAAAATAACACAAGCCTGAAGGAGTTCTGCTATGTGGTAGGGCCTGAACGACTTTATTTTTTTTTAAGTCGACAGTCAAGTAATGAAAGTCGAGTCGACTTCGACTAGTCGTTGATGACGTCATACGCCGGAAGCGGGGGGGGGGGGGGGGGGGGGGGTCGGTAGGTTCGC